ATCATTATTATTATTATGCTGTATATACATGCAATTTTTTGTGTTGTTGTGTTTTTGTTATCTCTGTTTCTGTAGGTGTGCAGCCAAGATGCCGGGTGTGTTGTCTTGTGTCTTCTAGATATATATTTGACATATCTTCTAATCTCTCTTTCACTCTTACCCACTACATTTCACTTTTTTCTTCTTTATGGAAAAACAGAAAAAAATGCCACTTATGATGAAGAAATTAAGAAACTAAAATTCAGTTCTGCTTTCTGCTGAAGTGGCTAAGGAAAAAAAAAAACAGAAAAAATGCACAATGGGTGTGATTTTCTTTTTCTCTGTTGAAACACATTTTTGTGTCAAAAGAAAACACTGAAAGTTTTGTTCATTTCCATTAAACGGTTTTCAACATGGTTCAGGGTAAAACTATTATTTTTTTACAGAGTATTCAACGCCGCCAAAATTGAAAAGATGGCATTTTTGAGACCTCTAATTTTCTTTCTGTTATTTGTTATTAAACAAACCTTGTTTTTTACTTAAGTACTATGTAAGTAGAACACCTCTAATTTTTTTAGGTAATTGGCTTTCTTGGAAAAAGGTTTTTTAGCTTCAAAAATGCCTTTGAAACATTTTAAAAGGTGGAAAAATAACCAATTTTACCTATTATCACAGGTCTATATGGGTGCTGGTCATAAAATTATAATATCGTGAAAAAGTTTATTTATTTCAGTAATTCCATTCAAAAAGTGAAACTTGTATATTATATTCATTCATTACAAACAGACTGATATATTTCAAACGTTATTTCTTTAATTTTGATGATTATAACTGACAACTAATGAACACCCCAAATTGAGTATCTCAGAAAATTAGAATATTGTGAAAAGGTTCAATATTGAAGACACCTGGTATCACACTCTAATCAGCTAATTAACWCAAACCACCTGCAAAGGCCTTTAAATGGTCTTTCAGTCTAGTTCTGTAGGCGACGCAATCATGGAGAAGACTGCTGACTTGACAGTTGTCCAAAAGACCACCATTGACACCTTGGACAAAGAGAGCAAGACACAAAAGGTCATTGAGCTCTGTGTCCGAGCACACTAATAGAGAGGCGAAGGGAAGGAAAAGACGTGGTAGAAAAAAGTGTACAAGCAAGAGAGATAACRGCACCCTGGAGAGGATTGTGAAACAAAACCCATTCAAAAATGTGGGGGAGATTCACAGAGTGGACTGCAGCTGGAGTCAGTATTTGAACTACCACACAGACATGGGAAGACATGGGTTTCAGCTGTCGCATTCCTTGTGTTGAGCCACTGTTGAACAAGAGACATCGTCAGAAGTGTCTCACCTGGGATAAAGAAAAAAAAGGACTGAACTGCTGCTGAGTGGTCCAAAGTCATGTTCTCTGATGAAAGTAAATTTTGCATTTCCTTTGGAAATCAAGGTTCCAGAGTCTGGAGGAAGAGAGGAGAGGCACAGAATCCACATTGCTTGAGGTTCAGTGTAAAGTTTCCACAGTCAGTGATGGTTTGGGGTGCCATGTCATCTGCTGTTGTTGGTCCATTGTGTTCTCTGAGGTCCAGGGTCAACACAGCCTTCAACCAGGAAGTTTTAGAGCACTTCATGCTTCCTGCTGCTGACCAACTTTATGGAGATTCAGATTTCATTTTCCAACAAAACTTGGCTCCTGCACACAGTGCCAAGGCTACAAGTTTGTTGTTTAACTAACTTCAAACAGTAGTGATAAAAATACAAACCCAATCACAGAAATACTTTTATTCTGAAAGGGTTAAACTGGAAGTATCACAAGTTAGAGTTAACCCTATATCCGGGGTTTGGATTGGCTGATTTGCCACCTTTAAATTAAACCAATAGAAAAACAACAGATTTGTATCAGTTCCACCAGTCTTGAACTGGAAGGAAACAAGATATAGGCTGAGTTATACTTGCGCTTTGGTCCGCGGGCTTGAGCGCGAGGAGTGCACGTGCACTAAGCCGTGCGGCTTCTATGTTTATAGTTTTGCCGCTGTGTTTATAGTTGACGCGCGGTGGCGCGCGGCAAAGTGCTGTTCTGTTACGGACCAGCAGGTGGCAGTACGCTTTAAAACCTGTACATAGGTTGTAAGAAACAGGTATAGAAGAAGAAATGTATGACGTCACACAACTTTATTTCGTTTCTATTTTATTCATTCATGTTCTTATTTTAATTTTGAAGTTGTTGGTTGTTTTTTTTTCTAACTAATTGTGGAGCTATCTGCCACATTTGCCCTTGCTGCCTCCAGTTTTGGCCTTGAACCTTTAGTTTTTAAGTCTATTTTAATGATGTTAAATAAAATGAAACTACATTGAAATATCCACTGCAACTTTCCTTCTCAGTTTTGTTTGCATATTGTCTTATTCTCAAAGTCATCAACAGTTTCACTCTATAAAATTAAGTACGAATCAGACTTTTTTATAAGTGTAAGAATATTTGATGTTTTATACATTGAAAACCTCAAACGGTATTGTAAATATAATTCCCACCATGAATCAAAATAAAGCTTTGCTGCCTCACAGGCAGTACTCCCAAAATTTTAATGTTGTTATTCAAGTTTTTTTTATTAGTACTGATCAAAAGAGTAATACATTTTTAGGTTTATTTTTCAGATGAGTAAATTTGCTTAATACATTACTAGAACATGTAATTCATTCTTCCAAGCCTTTCTACACACAGATTCATGTTTCTGCATCGCTTCAGTGATCTCCTTCCAAACATTCTGTGCCATTTGAACATCTTTATGATCTCTCATTGAGGGATCATATAAATGCTGGTACATCCGGATAAGTAAGCAGCTTCGCGTCGTCAACGGCGCACACACTAGCCTTTGCGGAGTTTCAAAAAATCGGAGGGGCACGACACGCGCCAAAACGGCGCATGGGGCCAAAGCGCAGGGGCGGGGACGGCGCTATTGCGTCACTTTTGGCGCACACACCCTCACTCCCTGCACGACGTGTCGAGTATAAATCTAGCTTGAGTGTTAACATCCCTTAATTTCTTATCTATTCAGCAGTTTAGCTTTAGCGGAGCTAAGATTCTTGTTTGACAGATTAGTGGTTAGTGAAGCTAACATTTTAGTTAGTTGTGCCCACTCTTGCAAACTTAATTTTAATACCTAGTTTTCCAAGTTTTGTAATGGGATTGCATCAAAAAATATAGATAAATGTTGGGGAAAAAAACGGACTATTTGATTTTTTTTAGCAAACTTTATTCAGACCAACAATGTACTTTTGGTTGTTGTGCTCTTGGAAATATGGTGATATTAAATTTAGTGCTGATCAAATTCCAACACAGCACTAGGACATTTTCCAGCAGTCTGACCAAAATCATCTTTTCCTGTGCTGACAGCTGATCTTCTGGAAGTTCCCGAAGGCAAAAAAATGAACGTTTGGGTAAGTTTGCTTCGACCAATGCAAGTGCAGTTATCAAAAGAAAAAATTTTACAACTAATTAAATGATTTGTAAACAAACATTTATTTAATTTATTTTGCATTTTGATTGATAGAACACTTTTGGTGCATTAGCAGCCAAAAGTTAGGGTGTTTTCAAAAATTACTGCACTGAGATCTCCTTTCAGGGGTTTTTTTTTCCAGGAAGTGCCAATACCTAATCAAATCAAAGCAAAAGAAAAACTGTTTTAGGTTCAACTGTTTCATTCAATGTCAGCCCCTCCTACCTCGCTGACGTCTATGCCGTTGTTGACAGACCAGGTGGTCTGAAAACACTCCATCATGCGCTGCTCCAGGGCCTTCGGCAGCCGATGTACACGGATGAAGTCCTTCAGGTCTTTTGTGCGGGTGTGGTAGAGCGAACGGCGCGAGTACATCCTCTGAATGATGGCCGTCACGTTACCAAAAACCACTGCGTGCATTAGTGCTACAGAGGAGTTAGACAGAGGTACAGAAGATTTCTGAGCAAGGTCAGGTCAACAGTGGGTCTAAGCCACAAGACAAGTTTGACATACCTGGGATTTTGTGTAAAACAAAACAAAACTGGAATGTAATAATTTCCATATGTAATAGACTCATTTTTTTATCCACAATGGAACATAGTGAACATATCAGATGATTAAACCCAAAAAATATGATTTTTAGAAAAAGAAAATAGTTTGAATTTCAGGGCAGCAACATTTCTCAGAGAAGACAGAACAGGGACAACAAGAGGAAGTAAAAGTAAGAGGTACATCTGGAGCAACATTTTGCAAAAAATTATCTTAATTAGCAACAGGTCAGTAAGAGGACTGGGTGTAAAAACACATTTTAGATAAACTGGATCTTTCAGAAGTAAAGTGTGCCCTTCCACAAATCAATGGGCCTCATGCAACCGTTCATACGCACAGATTTGTTCTTAAGTTGTGCGTTTGAGTGATTTAGGAGAATTTGTGGCATTCACCAATGTTTTCGTATTCTAAGATTTTTTTCAGATACGAACAAAATTCATGAGTGGTCCAGACCTGTTATATATTTTACGAGCAGTCAGTCTGCTGTTATCCAGACGGGTTTTCCTCCCAAATAACTTTATATTTTATTAGTTTGAAGATATTAATAAGATATTTTGAGTTTGAAGATATTTTGAGTTGAAAATAAATCACACTCCATAATTATGTTGACAATAGGCTATTCTGCTTGAATTAGAGTTATAATTTTAAATGTAATAATTACAATATAAATTGTCCGTCCGGCCGGCTTACCCGCTATCGGTTGCGGGGCCAGCAGGAGAAAGACCCCGCTCTCCCCAGCGACACCTTCCAGCTCGTCCTGAGGGACTCCGAGACGTTCCCAGACCAGAGGGGATACATAATCCCTCCAGTGAGTCCTGGGTTTTCTCCAAAGTGTCAGACTTATTTTGATAACATTTTAAAATGCTTATTTCAYACCCGCATCTGAGACCACCACAACGGTGTGTCTTCTGAATAAATGAAAATGATTTAACACAGTTGTTTATACTTTTAGCAGCTCTTTTTATTCCACAGCTGACCTGCTAAAAATGACAGATTTTCTTTTCTGGATCTCTGACAGACGGACTTCAATCTCTGAACTCGTAAAGTTCTTCTTTTTAATTTTCGCTGTCATTTTTCATGAATGAACACTTCCTTGTATCTGAGGCAGGAAACATAGCCTTATATGGTGTTTTTGGGGTGGTAATTATGCTAATCTCCTCTCGCGTGCACGAGCAGCTGGATACGAACAGGTGTAATTTATGCAGCTCATTTACACACTTTTCCTGAAGATAGAAGAGTTTGTTGAATCTGACGTGACATGTTCGTACGAACCCTTCGAATGAACAAAAGTAAGAGAAATTTAGGATAAGAATACGAACATGTTCTTGCATGAGGCCCAATGTCTGTGAACAGCTCACCATGCCATCTATAAATGTTGCTTAAAGCTCTATCATGCAAAGGAAAAGCCATATGTTAACATTATTCAGACTCATTCTGTGGTCAAAATAAGTAAAATTTTTAATTGAATGTGGACTCCATGTAAGCTCCATCCTCTAGCACCTTGTTAGTGCACAGTTTAAAAGCCTGCCTCTCTGATGGTATAGGGGTTCATAAGGGCTTCTAGGATGGGTAGCTTACCATCTGGATAGGCTACACCAGTGGTGAAAAGTTTCAGAATATATGCTCCTATCCAGATGTATTTTTCAGCAAAGGCCCTGCATGTTTCAGCAAGACAATGCTAAACTTCACACTGCACCCAATACAACTACATGGATTTTCACTAAAATTGGTACAATTTCTTATGTTGAATATGTTCTCTTGTTAATACGTTGTACATCTTAATAAATGTTCCACAAAGTTAAAAGCTAAATCCAAATGATTTCTATGGTTTTGCTGAAGAATGGTTTGTGCCTTGGACTTTAACTTACCTCCAATCAACATGGTACAAATAGAAAAGATCTTCTCAGAGTCGGTGTTGGCCGAGACGTTGCCGAAGCCCACACTGGTCAGGCTGCTCAGGGCGAAGTACAGAGATGTCACGTAGGAGCTCCGGACGGACGGCCCTCCGCTCAGCGTCATGCCCGAGCCATTCAGCGCCCTCGCTCTGGTCCTGCCGCCTGAGCCCACCGAACTGGTCCCGTTCAACCCGGAGCTGTTCCACTGGCTGTAGTTAACCAGCCCTGCCGTCACACCACCCTGAGGAGAGTCCGGTACTCCCAGCAGGGAGGTCAGTGGTGTCAGGAAGTATGGAGTTCCCAAACGCTTGGCCAGTTCATGGAGCCAGCCTGGTGAGAGAACAGTCCAGAGAAGTTTGTCAGATTAATCAGAATGAATCTTTTAGGTGACTTTTCTAGTACTAGTCCATATTTTTATTTATTTATGCATGGTGCAAGGTTTTCAATTTTTAAAACTGTTTTGACTCCATATTTTTCATTATTTTAATGCTGCTGAACTCTTTATTTTATTTACAGTTATTTCACCAGGCAAATCCCATTGAGATCGCAGATCTCTTTTGCAAGGACGGCCTGGGCCTGAAGGCAACCTGTTGTACATATTTTTGTGCAAATCTGAAGTGCTGATATAAAATTTAAATAAAACACATCCAAAACATGAGACTGTTTTCAAACTTCTTCTGTTTTTTTTTCTAATTATTTTCCTAAGAAGGAAAGTTCAGTGACCCTTGACCTCCATACACAGGTGACTTCAATTATGAGAAAGGGTATTTAAGGGGAGCAATAGTAAGTTTTTCTCCTCTTTGCATCTTCTCTGAAGAGTGGCAGCATGGGAGTCTCAAAACAACTTTCAAATGAGCTGAAAACAAAGATTGTTCACDGTCATGGTTTAGGGGAAGGATACAGAAAGCTATCTCAGAGATTTCAGCTTTCAGTCTCCACTGTGAGAAACATTGTGAGAAAATGGAGGACCACAGGCACAGTTCAAGTCAAGGCTGGAAGTGGCAGACAGAGACAAATCTGGAATAAACAGAAGTGAAGGATGTTGAGAACAGTCAGAGTCAACCCACAGACCAGCACCAAAGACCTACAACATCATCTTGCTGCTGATGGAGTCACTGTGCATCATTCAACTATTCAACACACTTTACTCAAGGAGATGCTGTATGGGAGAGTGATGCAGAGGAAGCATTTTCTCTGCCCACATCACAAACAGAGCTGCTTGAGGTTTGCTAAAGCACATTTGGACAAGTCAGCTTCATTTTGGAATAAGGTGCTGTGAACTAATGAAACTAACATAGAGTTATTTGGGCAGAACAAGGGCCGTTATGCATGGAGGAAAAAGAACACAGCACTCCAAGAAAAACACCTGCTACCTACAGTAAAATGTGGTGGTGGTTCCATCATGCTGTGGGGCTGTGTGGCCAGTACAGGGACTGGGAATCTTTTTAGAGTTGAGGGACGCATGGATTCAAAACCAATATCAGCAGATTCTGGAGACCAATGTCCAGGAATCAGTGACAAAGCTGAAGCTGCTGAAGCCGGGGCTGCATCTTCCAACAAGACAACCACCCTAAACACTGCTCAAAATCTACTAAGGCATTCATGCAGAGGAACAAGTACAACGTTCTGGAATGGCCATCTCAGTCCCCAGACCTGAATATTATTGACAATCTGTGGTGTCACTTAAAAAGAGCTGTCTGTGGTTGGAAACCATCAAACCTGAATGAACTACAGATGTTTTGTAATTAAAAATGGTCTAAAATACCTTCAGCCACAATCCAGACTCTCATTAGAAGCTATAGGAAGTGTTTAGAGGCTGTTATTTCTGTGAAAGGAGGATCTACTAAATATTGAGTTATGGTTTTTTTATGGTGCCCAAATTTATGCACCTGCCTAATTTTGTTTAACCAATTATACACACTTTCTGTAAATCATATAAACTTCATTTCACTTCTCAAGTATCACTGTGTTTGTCCTATTTTACTGATTTTTTTCGAAACAATCAATGATTTATAAAGGTAAATCAGGAAAATTAACAAGGCTGCCCAAACTTTTGCACCCCACCGTACTAGTCATATTTCAGCACTGTTGTGGGTCTTTGTTCAGATCCTGATTAGCCTTCCTGCTTTTATCAAATTTAAGATTTAAGTTGAGTCTCTTTGTTCCATTAATGGATTTCTACCAAATACATTTTTTAAATTATTTTGTACAAAAGTGTTTCTGGTTTATTGTAACAAATATTATTTTCAATCCAGCAAACTGGTACAAATAATACAAATAACAACTAAAAAACTCAGCATGAAGTGCTTCACCTGAGATTAGATTCAAAGCTCCTTAATGAGTCACTTAATACTCGGCTGTATCAGAAACTGTTCCAAGACTTGTCCTTGAAGTGGTGACTACTCAGAGACTAAATGAATTGACGGTTCTTGTAAAAGGGGTGTAATTAGGAAGATTTAGCTTTCAGTAGCGCAGGGGTGTAGGCATTCACCTTCCAACCAGAGCGTTGCTGGTTCAAATCCCTGCCTGAATGCATACTGTCGTTTTGTCCCTGGGCAAGACACTTAATCTAGCTTCCATATGTATAAATGTTGGTGTGATTGTGGTGGTCTGGAGGGACCGTAAGTGCAGAATGGCAGCCACACTTCCACCACTGAGTGTGACTGAGGAGTGAAATAATAATAAGCATCTTAAAGCATCTAAAAAGTGACATAAAAGACTTACACATTATTGTTATTATATATTTGGTTACTGATCTGTTTAATATAACAGAAAATCTTCCCAATTATTCTCAACTACACTCAGGAGAAATCTATTGTTAAAAAACTTCTAAAAAGTACTTCTGAAAGCATATACTTCAGTACTTTAACTAAAGTAGTACTTTAACAGAGTTGCTTGTACTGAGTACTTTGTCCATCACTGTTTGCAACACATATTTTGGTGCTAACTGATAAGATCTCTGTTTAAAACTTTGGCAACAAAGTGACGGGTGATAGGCTTTCCTTCAAAGAACGCTAGCTCCTTTATTTAATTAAGATATTCAAAAAACTGTGAAAACTTCCCTTAAACAAGTAAAGAAAACACAGACAAGTTAGCTTTTAGTGTGACTCAATACTGAAGTCTTTTTATCTTCAATAAAACCTAATTTCCTTCCTTACATAACGGCAGTTAAGTCCCTTCATTTCTGGTGTTTATCTCACGTTTATACCTTTATTTAATGGAGTGTGTAGAGAAACATACAAAAGCAAATGAAATCTAAAAATAAAGGTTTGTAAATGCATTTCCAGCTGAGGATTTAAGATGTGCACATTAACCATGGGCGGTGGTGCTCTCCTCATCGGAAGGAGTTTCATCTTCCCAATTATCAGCCCTTTGATTAATGGTTGACCCTGGTTACCACCTGCACAGCGGCCCCCTTCTCTGGTCTACACCCTGTATGCCAGTGGAGATGTGGGGTTTTGTACATTTCTGGCCATTCGCAGCCTCCATCTCATGTTTTCTGCTTGAACTAAAATGAAAAGGATAGTCACACACACCTAACTGTGGTGTTGTTGTTGTTTGGCACCAGTGGGCGCGGTGGGAGCGGGAAACACATCGCCAGAATTAGAAGTGTTTTCTCAGTGGAAGGACAAGCACACATCGCACGTCGCAGGTGTGTCTTCATGTCTTTTTTCTTCCCGGTACTGGGTAAAATACTGCTAACGATCTGCGTTAGTCTCTATTTTTAGCAGTGGGGTGGGCTGTTTTTGCAGAGGTTGTGTAGTTGTAGCTAATCACATTTAGCAGCGGCCTAAAGCAAGTGCTGGGGGTGACTCTGAGCAACCACCACCAGATTTTAGATCAATACTTGTCAAATTAGCAGCCATTTTTGTTTATTCAGTTTTACTAGCTGTGGCAGCCATCTTGACTTGAATTGACTCATTAAGGAAATCTGTTGTTGATTACTTTCACTTTGGCTGAAATATCTCCAGTCATTTGAGATATTTTGCTAACAGACAGACAAACGCCCAACTACAAATGGCAAATATTAACAGAAAAAATAGTACAAGAAATTTATCATCTCTGCAAAATGAGGTGCAAATCAATTGAGTGTTGAATAACCCTAGTATGTTGAAGAATGTGAAATAGTTTAAGAATAGAAGAAACAGATACAACAGCTAAAAGCTAAAAGGAGCACAATGCAAATTAAAGCCAATTAATTGGCTAAACTTGATCTACAACTTCAAATTAGCTAAAAAAAAAAAAGAAAAGAAAAGCTAACTGCTAAAATTAGTAGAATGGTAGTTAAAAGTAGAGAAATGAAAAAAATGTAGCTAAACTGTAGGTGAAAGCAAAAAAGAGCACAGAAAGGCTGAAATTGGATAAATATGAGGTAAACATTCAAATTTGCAAAACAGAAGCTAACAGTAAAATTAGCAAACTGGTAGCCAGAACTAGTAGAATGGAAGCTAAAACTAGCAGAAATGGTAGCAACGAATATAAAGAATTTGTGTGGTACATATGAGCAAAAAAGAAAAAAAAACAGCAACAAAATGTAGCAAAACTGTAGCTAAAGGCTAAATTGAGGACAGCATTACAGAACAAAATGAACTAAAAGCTAAAAACCTAAGAGGTAAAACAATAAAAATTGCTAAAACTAGAAAAATATTAGCTAAAACTAGCAGAAAGGTAGCTATGAGCAAAAGGAGAGCAAAACTTATAGTAAAACTGCAGCTAAAAGCTAAAAAGTGTTTCAACAGCAACACAGACCTATGTCCCAGGACATGGGGTTGTTGCTTTGGATCTCGCTGCGCCCAATGAAGTACCAGACACAGGCCATCCAGTGGCCCAGCAGGGCGAAGGTGGACATGAGCAGAGTGAGGACCACAGCGCTGTACTGGGAGTACCTGTCCAGCTTCTGCAGGAGGCGCAAGAGACGCAGCAGGCGCACCGTTTTCAGCAGGTGTACCCCGAAATTCTACAAAAGGATGCAAATACAGCAAAAACGCTTTACCAAAGACCACCTGGAGGCAATTTTTACACAATTCTGCTTTCCATAAATTTCTCAGACACATTTAACTGGAAAGCATCTGCAGTTTATAAACACACAAACAGCCTAAACTCCTTACATCATCTGTTGGTCAAATGTGAATGTGCTTTGGATTGTCATAAATACAAGTTCTCATGCAATAACAAATTTGTGATATAGTGAGAAGCTAAGTATGTGAGCGCCTGTGCAGGCAGCATGCAGGGTGGTGGGTCACATGCATTCCTTCAGAATGCTAGCTTCTGTCAGTGATATCCTGATATCCTGCTATCACTAGAGACACGGTCAAAGACATTTCACCCCTTGTTGGTGGGTTATAAAAACAGTGCGTGCGTCGTTTAACTCACCACACTGATGTTGAAGGCGTACAGCAGGTCAAAGGGCAGCGCTGCAATCAGATCCACAAACAACCAGGAGGTGGCGTAGTGGATGCAGATGGAGCGGTCATCGTACACAACCTGACCTGACGTGCTCACGTAGGTCGTTCGAAAGTTTAACACGATATCTGGTTCACAAGCATGAAAGAGACAAATAGTTATTTTATTAACACAAACATACAAAATACAGATTTTAGATTCTTGTTCTGGAAGAAAAGAGCCTTTTTCTTTAGAAACATTTCAGCTATTTCAACCATTCACCTGTTAAAATGTTCAGCTCATTTAGGTCGTTACAGCTACAGTACTTGTTGAAATATTTCACTTTAAATTTTTTGAAAATGATCCTTATCCATAAGAAAATTTACAACTTTAAACTTTAGTAACTGTAGAATTCGAACTTTGGCTTTTAGCAACTAATTTTCAAAATGTTAGCATTTAGCTATACTATTTTTGCCAGACTCAGATTTTAGCTACTGGTTTAATAATATAGTTTTTAGCTGTTGTTTTGGTGGTTTTAGTTTAGCTTTACTAGTTTGTACTTTTAGCTTTTTTTTTCAAATGTTAGCTTTTAGCTATTGATTTGCTCTTTGTCTTTTATTAGCTGTTTTATCAGTCTTAGATTTTAGCTACTGTTTTGTGATGCGAATTCTAGCTTTTAAGAACAGTTTTCCTAATTTTAGGTTTTAGCTACTTTTTTCAAAAAAACATATCACTTTTAGCTGCTGTTGTAATAATTTTGGTTTGTAGCAGTTGTCTTGCTGTTTTTAGTCATTGTTTATGCTTTTTCTGTTGTCAAACTTTAGCTTTTAGCTACTTATTTGCTCATTTTAGCTTTTAACAGCTGTTTGAGTCATTTTGGATTTGAGACACTTGTTAATTTTAGCTTTTAGTTACTGTCTTACTGGTTTTAGTTTCAATTTGATGGTTTTAGTTTTGCTCATTTTAGTGATTTTAAATATTAGTTTTCAGCTAAATTCTTTAATTTCAACTTTTAATGATTGTTTCTAGTTTTTATCTAATGTTTTCTCTGATTTTAGGTACTATTTTTGCAGGTTTAGCTATAGTTTTATAATTTTAGTTTTTGCTTTGCTTGTTTACACTTTAACAGTTCAGTTTGAAACACTTAGTTTTCACACTGGATTTCTGTAAATATTTAGATTTTTGCTCTAACTGACATGGTTCTGTGTGATGAAAACACAAAAATATAATAATTCTGTGCATCATGTTGGTTCAAGTGAACACCCACTTCCTTTGAGATCAGTCAGGTCTCACAAACTCTCAGGTTGACCCAGATTACCTGCAGGGACAAACTGGATTCATCCAGACCTGTTTGTCCCAGATGGGACATCGGTTTGACCTGGTTAGTACAAACAGACAAATAAATCACACAGACAGCCAACAGCCTTCTTATATTTTAAAGAGCTATGGGTGTCATGTGGTAGAAAAATGGTAGAGCCTTTTAAAGTGGGCTTCTGTCTAAAGGTTATGAACAATTATCTTACCTGTTGCAGACAGTTGGTAGTATCTGTGTATTTTGGTAGGGTTTTTTGTGTGTTTGGGTTTATTTCTTTTCATTATTTTTTGTTTTTTAGTGATTCCCTCCCTCAGTTCAGACATTTAGTTTATTCACTGAGCTCCCTGTGTCAAGTCTGCATAAGTGGGTTCAAGTCTTACAAGAATTTAATTTTGACCTGATTGCAGAAAGGGGTAGTAACAAGTTACATTTACTCAGTTACATTAACTTGGATAACCTTTTGGAAAAAAAGGTACTTTCAGGAGTAGTTTTATTACACCTTACTTTTTACTTTATTGAGTAATATTATTATGAAATATTGCTACCCTTTCTTGAGTAAAATTTCTGAACACTCTACCTACTGTAATTAGCTTAACAAATGTTTTATCTTGAAATGCAGCAGAGACAGTACAGTTTATGTTGAGACTGCATGTTTTTACACAAGCTTCATTGTACTGATGTTATTTTCTATCTGCTGAGACATCAGGTCCAGATATATATACATACATATATATTATAT